CGCCGATAATTGCGTGGATAAAATTTTCAAATATAATATTTATCTGAAAGTTTGTAAACGATTAAGGAAAGAAGAGGATAGGAAAAAATTAGAAAATATTTATATTGACATTTTTGAAAATAATATTAAAGCGAGGGATTTAGTGAAAAAATATTTTAAATACACATCTGACATAAATTTAAACAGTAATAATGTAGCATATTTAAATGATACATGTAGGGAAGTTGCAAATGAAATTAGAAAAATGCAAAATAGAAAAGGCGAATATGAAGTAGGAGAAATAATGACATGTAGAGAGTATTTAAAATCAAAAACTTATAAATTTCAAGTTAATTTTAAATACAAGATTTTAAACATAATTGAAAATGCGGTAGTTTTAGAAGACGAGCACACTAAAATAGTTCAACAATTACCGCTGGATATGTTGAGGAAGCACTTTATATTCAATTATTGTTTTACCTGCCACAGCGTCCAAGGTTCAAGCATTGAGGGAGGTATAACAATATTTGATTATAACCATTGTCTGGTAGATAAAAACTGGCTGTGGACGGCGATTACAAGAGCCACAGATTTAAATAATGTATCATTCTTCAAATATGATAATGATGATAATGAATTTAATAAAAGATGCATATATAATTATTTATGTAGAAAGGTTGAAGGATATAAAGAACAAGATAGAAAAGCAAAAAGAAAAATAGATCATAAGAATTATATTACCGCTGAATGGCTATTAAATAGATTGAACGGGAGCTGTGAAAAATGTAGTGTAGAATTTTATGTTAAATCAATAGGCGGAAATATAAGGACGAATTTAACCGCACAGCGGAAATTTAACGATCAGACACACACCATAAGCAATTGCATAGCATATTGCAAGAGGTGCAACTGCAACGCCAGCGATAAAGAAAAGTTTTAAAAAGTTTTAAAAATATATAGTTTTAAAAAAACTTTTATATAATATTGTATATATGCCAGTTGGTAAAAGCAAGGTTGAAGAAAAAGTAGAAGTGCCAGTAAATGAACAATTTGAAGAATTCAGTGAAAAAATCTACAATATGGTTTTAGAACTAACTCGTGATATGGAAACGGTGTTGGAAAAACTTGAAGTATTAACTGAAAAACCTAAATATAAATCAAATACAAATCCCGAAGGAACATATGCAAACAAAAGAAACGCTTATATTAAGAAATTAAATGATGGAGCAATTTTACAACCTAAACCGGAAACTATGGAATATTATAAGGTTGTAAAGGAAGGCGACAAATATGTTTAAAAAAAATATCACAAAAAATATCACAAAAAATATTACAAAATTTATGAATTTTTGTAATAAAATTTATGATAAAATTTTATGAATTTTTTATCATAAATTTCTGAAATTTTAATGGTGAAATGTGCAAGGGTATGATGTCAAAAATGGGCAAAAATTTATGGAAATGTTGAAATCATAGGGTACCCCCTAGGGGAAAAACGTGTGAGGCGTTGGCGGGACGGAGATAAACATGGGGCATGGCCATACCTAACTACCGAAGCCCCCAGCCAAGCACCAGCTAAGCCCCAGCCAAGCCCCAACCAGGCCCCACCCATATGCTCCAATATTGGTTGGAATCAATCGCGATTGATTTTTTCAAGCGCCGATTGAAACGAAGCCAAAATCAATCGCAGAGAGGCCTTTTTCAATAGCGACAAAATCAATCGCAAAGTATCGTTAAAATCAATAGAAAAATCAAGCGTGGAATCAATAGAAAAATCAATCGCGGAAGTGGGTTTTAGGCCATCCCACGTGTGCAAAAACACCATATATCTATTATCTCTTCTGCCATTTAAAGCATGTGCTTTTCAGCATTTTCGTGAGTTCATAAGTATAAAACTTATCTATATACATATCTATATGTATATATCCATATATATGTATACATATTATGTATGTATGTATGTATGTATGTATGTATGCATATATATATATATATATCTACATATATACATACAGCTACATATGTCGTGTCTATCCAGACGCTGTGAAGAATCGGCAAAGCCCTATCATCAAACACGGACACTCAAAGCTATATAGTACGTACATGAATTTAGGGTTTGGGCTTGGGGTTCAGGGTTTAGGTTGTCTATCCAGACACTAGGACCAAGCGACATGTCTATCCAGACACTGCCCTGCCCCCTGCCCCTTGCCCCCTGCCCCCTGCCCCCTGCCCCCTGCCCCCCTGCCCCCCTGCCCCCCTGCCCCCTAGTGCAGACAAGTTGCGGCTGCGGATCGCTGTGGCTGCGGCGGTTTGTCTATCCAGACACTGAAATAGAAAGTTTAAGACTATATATGTCTATCCAGACACTGGGTTTGCAGAACCCTTCTTTTTTAGTCCTCCGGCTTCTCAGTGTCGAAGTCCAACAAGCCCTTTAAGAGCAAGTGAAAAGCCAGGCTAAACTTTTGAAGCACCTTTCCCACAACCTGGTAGCTGGCAGTTCCACGAGAGCAGCTTGCAGTCACAGCTTTCACAATCGCCAGGTACGACTCAGGGCCATAGCACCAAACACATCTCGGCGTCAGATATTTTGACTGCTGCCCGAAGTGGTAAAAGAGGTGGAACTTCTGGGTGATGCTGTATTTCAGAAGCTTCCTCTTCAATGCATCTTTCGCCAGGAAATGATCGTGGGACAACGTTCCTTGCACTGCATCTTCGAAAACTGGGAAATCCGTTGAAGAAACAACCCATTTCTTCTCATCTGCCATGCTGTACACTTTGTCCAAACACTCCACACAAGCTTTTCTGTGCATAGATCTCGTAGACGATTCATCACTATATTCCGTGGCCAACCGTACAGCTACTGGTGAAAACTTCCGAACAGTCCTGCCTTTGATGTGCTTCAAAGTCGGGTATCCAGTGTCTGCAATCAAATTGCTTCGCAGCAATTTCGGAAACCGTTCAGCAGTCGGTATCTCCAGGTCTTCATATATCTGCGAAATTTTCGGGTTCAAGACTTTCAACCTGGCCTCCAAGCTGCTCCCTGGCAGTGTATCCAAAATGTCGCACAGCAGGTTTGCAAAGATGTGGCAAGAAATGCCAAGATCCATCAAATGCAACAGATCCAGTTTGACCGTCCAGAAGCCGACCCCCGGAACACTCCAGAGGTGGTGCTGCCTCAGGTCCTCAGCTCGAGGGTTCAATAGTGTGGATCTCCAAGCAGCCTGTGGTCGCAGATCGTTGAATGGATGCGTGTTCTTGCTCTCGTCGAAAAAATTGGTGCATTCGCAATAAGGACATGGGTCATTCCGAGCACTAGTGGGCCAGCCAAACTGAGAACAGAAAAATTCGAGGTCGCCGCTGACGGACATAATAATACATCGTCTTCTCGCCTTGCCTTGAATGCAGTGAAAGGGAGTATGGTTGATATATAGTATCTCCATAATGACCTACTAGATACAGTCACCACATGTCAAAAACAAGCCTATAACTATACACTCACCAAAACGAAAATCCTAATTCATACATGGGTTTTGGTGGGATCGTGGTGTTCGGCGCGGTCTGTCGTGTCTTTCCAGACATGGAAAACGATCCCAGTCAGGCCAACTATTGTTTAAAACAAGATGATATCTTCGAATGTAATAACAGCTCCTGGTTTCTGCAAGATGCTCTTTCCAGCGGCGAGCTTCTTGAAGGACTCCGACAGTTCCTTCCAGATTGGGTCCCAAGTTCTGTCCCAGTCCTCAGTGGCGTTCTTCGGCATGTTCACCAGCATAAGCTGCGAAAACTGCACACTCACATTGCTGACCATGCATCGCATCGATATTGCCATCGTGGAGTCAGTCTCCGAATATGGAGCTGCGTCTCCGTGAAGCACGAGTGGGATAGGGGCCTCTGCCTGGAAATCTATGCCCTTCCAGTACTTTGTATCCTGGCGGAACTGCGGGTTTTCTTTCCAGAGCTGCTTGCTCCAGAATTTCCGGATTTCTGCTTCGGGAGCCATGACTGTTTCCAAAAACCCATGCTCAGAGAGCTGGTCGATCCAGGCATGGGGCAAGTTCACAGGGATGTCCTTGTCCATCATCTTCTTCTCACCATTCAAATCCCTGACCAGAACAGGTGTTCTGATGCTGGTGCTTTCTGGGGAGCACATGTTCTTGAAGATCCACCTGGAAATGTCTCTGTGGCAGTTCTGTGGCGAGACACCATGGGCTCCTAAAGCCTGCACTTTCAGCAAGTCTTCTGCTGAGCTTCCAGATTTCACCGCACAGTCTGCAAACTCCTGAATCTCTGAAGCAGACAGCTTGCCCATTGCAAAATGCCTCACGAGCATCAACAAAAGCGGCGAGTGCGGCTCATGGCTGGTTTTTTGTTTCTTGCCCATTGTGCTATTCCGGGTCTAGGGGACCTGAAATGGGCTGCGGTGCATGACAGGGTGATCAGGGCCCTTGGCTTCCCTGCAGCATATGTCTGTAAACAAAAGCTTGCCTATCCAGGCATGTGCAACAGCTTGCCTATCCAGGCATGCACAACACAAGTGGCGTGCACAACCTGCCTGTCCAGGCATTCAAAGCATTGCAAAGCAGCACACACACACTCTCTCTCTTTTACTCGCGGGGCTCCACCCCTCGTTGTGCCATTCGGCGATCCATTCATGCAATTTTGCATGAGGATGCAAAAGTTCAGTCCTACAGAGGCTGGGCACCTTTTAGCCAGCAACATCATTATGATCTACATTCATCAACATCACAGCTGCTAGAAACTCCACAAAACAACACTCCTCAACATCTGCATTCGCTAGCTATCATCATCTCCTACCGGTGCCACTGCTAGCCGCTAGCCTCATCCAGGCTACAAGGTTTGAAGTTAAAAACCAGCTGCCTCCACAAGTCCATCTTTCACTTTAGCGAGATCATTCAGCTCCAGGAGCTTCGATGCCTCCTGCAAACAGACAAGAGTTTCGAAGCATAACTGTCAAAGGCAATTAAGAGGCAAGCCTTCTTCAAGCGGAGTCTTTTCCTTCACTAGTCTGCTGCTTGCTTGGCTTTCTTGGCCTTCTTCAAAGAAGCTTCAAGGGCCTCGAGCAGAGCGGCTTTCACTTCAGTTTTGTCTTCCTTCTTGTCCTCGATGTTCTTCAAGGCCTTGTCGATCTTCTTCTGTGCCGTCTGCGCTTTCGTTCTTGCTGTCTTCAGAAACTTGCTGTGGTCTTCGTCCTCAGCTGTCGAGACCAACTTCTGCAAGACAGTCTCTTCCTTTCCCAGGGCTTCCTTGAAGCTCAAAAGCTTGTCAAAGAACTGTTGCTTGCCGTCCTTCTCCTCCAAGCGGGACTTGGCGTCCCAGTCCTCCTCTTTCTTCCCTTTTTTGGACCCAGAAGCCTTGCTGTCTGCGGTTCGCGACTTCGTCTTCACCTTCTTGGCAGGGGCTTCCGAGCTTCCGGACTCTTGCTCTGAGTCCTCCTCTTCCTCTGAGTCTTCCTCCTCCTGCGAGGACTTTTTTGCCCTCTTCTTCTTCTTGTCCGGGCCACCAAGCAGAGCTTTCAGTTCCGGTTCCACGTCCATGCTCTTGAAGCTCGACGGAGTCAGTCCAGCGAGGTCCATGTCTTGCAGGTCTAGCAAAGCCTTCGAGTCTGTCTTCTTTCCAGAGCTCTTGACGACCACTCCCTTCTCTCTGGCGAAGGAGGCTCTTGTCACTTCTGTCATGTCCAAGAACTCTAAGAACCTCGCGTCGGAGGGAGACTTGCGGAACTTCAAGGAGCCCCTCCTCAGTCTGGCCAGGGCCTCTTTCTTACCAAACTTCACTTTCATTTGCCTGGCAGTCAGACATAGGCATGAGTCTGCAGCTGTCAAGACAAAATGCCTGCCCAGGCAGGCACCACACACACACACACACACACACACACACACACAGAGTGCCATGACCCCCTGCCTTTCCAGGCATCAGAATCACATCCTCCTGCTGTCTTTCCAGACACTAAAAACAACTTAACACTCCCCATGACCTCCTTGTGTCTTTCCAGACATTAAAACGTCCCGGCCTCCACGTCTTCCACTGGCTTTCCACAGTCTGCTCCTCTTTGTGTGTGATCTTCAACATCTGCTTTGCGTACAGCTCACCACAGGATCCTCCATCCTTCACGAAGGCCTCCAGAGCTTTGTTCTGCTTGTCTGGAGCACCGGGGCCAGTGCAGTACTTGCGGTACTCTTCCTCCGTTCCTTGGCTAGTCCTCTTTCGCTCGAACTTCTTCCACAGCTTCAGCCTTTCGTTTTCAGGCATCCCTGCCAGTGCCTTCTGAATCTGCTGGGAGCTCAGTCCTTTGGCAGCCAGCAGAGCCTGGTGTGTCTTCACGTTTGCTAGGGTGACCTGCTGCTTGTCCTTTTCCTTCTCTTCCTCCTCTTCCTGCTCCTCCTCCTCCTCCTTTTCCTCTTGCGGCTCCTCCTCCGGCTCCCTCTCGGTCTCGTCGTCCTGCAAATGCGGTCTAGGGTTTCGGGACCATGGTGTGGTTTAGGTTTCGGTTTTGGTTTCGGTTCAGAAAGAGAAAGAGCGAGAGAGAGAGAGAGAGAGAGAGAGAGAGGAGGGGCTGGTTGAGAGAGAGCAGGAAGAAGAAGAGGGGAGCAGAGGAGAAAATAGATAGAGCAGATATCGAGAAGAGAAGAGAGAGAAGAGCAGAGAAAGAGAGGAGGATAGAGAGAGAGAGAGGGAGAAGAGAGAGAAAGAGAGAGAGAGAGAGAGAGAGAGAGAGAGGAGAGAGAGGAGAGAGGAGAGAGGAGAGAGGAGAGAGGAGAGAGGAGAGAGGAGAGAGGAGAGTGAGAGAGATTTCGTCCTTGGCTGCTGGCTTCTTCATGGGTTCCTTTGTGCTTTTTGGCTTCTTGTTTTCTTTCCTCTTCTGTTTTTTCTTTGGTACAATCAAAACTCAAACGATTTTCCTAATCTCCGGCCTGTGCGGCTGCTGGCCTTTTCATTTTGGACTGCACGGCCATGGCTGGATTATAAAAGGAGTGTGCAGATTTTCTAGAAAAGATCTGGGGCCAAACATCACGAATCGTCATGAGTACAACTTGTGACGTCCATAATCCGTCATGAGTTGTACTTGTGACGCCAAAACCGTCATGAGTACAACTTGTGACGTTTCATGGCGTTTAGTGGGGTTCACAAGACGACACATGACGTTTCATGACGTTGGGACTTTCGGAAAAATCTATCCAGACACTAAAAGTTTCATGAGTGATTGAACAAAAATACATAGGAAATCTGGCCAGGCGATAAAGGTTTCATGCTTACCTCTACAGACATTACAACAAATTTGTCTCTCCAGACATCTGTCTATCCAGACACCAATGGTGAAAACACACACACACACACAAACAAAACCCCAACGGGTTTAAGGGTTGAGGGTTCGGGGTCGAGGGTTTAGGGGTTTGAGAGTTTAGGTTTGGGGTTTCAGGGGTAATTTGTTTAATGAGCACACACGCACACACACAATGCCTGTCCAGGCACCGCACTTGCCTATCCAGGCACAACAACTTGCCTATCCAGGCACAACAACTTGCCTATCCAGGCATAACAACTTGCCTATCCAGGCACAACAACTTGCCTATCCAGGCACAACAACTTGCCTATCCAGGCACAACAACTTGCCTATCCAGGCACAACAACTTGCCTATCCAGGCACAACAGATTCTTGCCTATCCAGGCATGTGCAACAGCTTGCCTATCCAGGCATGCACAAAAAATGGTGCGTGCACCACCTGCCTGTCCAGGCATTCAAAGCACACACACACACACACACACACACTCTCCCTCTCTTTTTCTCGCGGGACTCCACCCCTCGTTGTGCCATTCGGCGATCCCTTCATGCGATTTCGCATGAGGATGCAAAAGAGGCTACTCTACGAAGGCTCGGCAATTTTCAGTCATCAACATCTTTAGGATCTACATTCATCAACATCACAGCTGCTAGAAACTCCACAAAACAACACTCCTAAACATCTGCATTCATCTAGCTAGCTATCATCATCTCCTTGGTCAACACTCCTAAGCATCTGCATTCATCTAGCTAGCTATCATCATCTCCTAGGTGCCCGAGCCTTTTCAAAGGCCGTTGTGGCCTTTGAAGTTGTACAGGCGGAGCATTTGTCTCCAAAGGTCCTTGACCTTTGATGCACCCATGAACCCCTTGCACGACTTGACCATGCATCCCTCGAGGCCCCTGTCTACTCGCATGTCTGACCCTCGATGCACAAAGGACATCCTATCGCATTCTTTGCACACCTTGAAGAAGCTTGCATGCTCTTTGAAAAAGGCCTCGCTGGCACAGCCGTCGTAGTCAGACATCTCTATCAGCTTCTCCTCCTTCTGCCCCGCCCACGGATCGTTCTCAGCGTCCTCCCACGGATCCTTCAGGGTGATCAGGGTTTAGGTTTCAGGGTTTAGGTTTCAGGGTGTAGGGTTCAGGGTTTTGGTTTCAGGGTTTAGGTTTCAGGGTGTAGGGTTCAGGGTTTTGGTTTCAGGGTTTAGGTTTCAGGGTTTGGTTTCAGGGTTTAGGTTTCAGGGTGTAGGGTTCAGAGTTATGGGTTCAGGTTTCAAGGCTTAGGTTTCAGGGTGTGGGGTTCAGGGCTTAAGGTTCAGGGTCTGGGGTTTCGGCGCTTTTACTGGGTTAAGGTTTGGGTACAATTGGTGTCTCTCCAGACACACACTTGTCTCTCCAGACACACACTTGTCTCTCCAGACATTTTTTTCGGCGGGGTCAGGGTCCTGGGTCCTCGGGGTCATCCGGGTTCTTCTTCTGCTTCTTTCCATCTGGGCCATCCTTGGCGGTTTAGGGGGGTTCGCACAAAAATCAAAACCTTGTCTATCCAGACAATGAAGCCACTTGTCTTTCCAGACATTATATTTCCAAACAAACACCACAATTAACCATGTAAAACAAAGGCTCCTGGTCCTTCTCCGGCGGCGGCGGGGGGGCATCCTTGTCGTCCTTCTTGTGCGGGGCATCCTGCAGGGTTTTCTCATGTACTATATGTCTTTCCAGACATTACATTCTGTATATAAACACAAAAACAATATAAAGCCCAGGCTCCTTCTCGCCGGTCTGATCCTCCCCCTGCCAGTCCTCGTCCCGGTACGACGATCCTCCTCCCCACTGCCACTGCGAGCCTCCCCAGGACCACCAGTCCCAGCCCTGGTTCCAGGACCACGTGTCATCAGCCGGGGGGGCACCATCTCCATCTCCCTGGCCACCACCCCCAGCACCATCTCCACCTCTCTTGTCACCATCTCCACCATGCGTACCATCTCCACCTCCCTTGCCGCCATCTCCACCATGGCCACCATGCGTACCATCTCCACCTCCCTTGCCGCCATCTCCAGCATGGCCACCATCATCTCCACCTCCTCGGTGATCCATGTCTGCACTTCCTCTCCCAGGTGTGCTCGGTCCTCCGAAAAAGACTTTCAGGCTTTAGGGTTTAAGGTTTTCTAGGGTTTTTCTGTTACGGTGTTCAGGGCCGGGGTTTCGGGTTTAATGGGGTTGTAAGAGTTCAAGGGGATAGGATTTCAAAATTGTCATCAGCATTGTCGTTTGCTAGGGTCCTTGGCCGGGGCCATCATCATCATCTTCTTCACACACCTTCTTGGCCAGGAAGTGCATGAACTTGTCGTAGGTCTTGAGGGTGGAGACACTGACAGGGATTCAGGGTTTAGGGTTCAGGGTTGAGGGTTTTGGGTTCGGGGTTTAGGTTTCAGGGCGTAGGGTTCAGGGTTTGGGGTTCAGGTTTTTGGGTTTAGGTGCTGAATTCTGATTGCTCCGGTTGTGCATGCATGCTTTTGAGTGAAGCTTCGAGATGTGTAGGCACGATGCTGAGAAGTCTAAGTTAGTGCGAAGCACAGCCAGACCTTAGCGAACTGAAGTGCCAAGATTGGCAGAGTCCAGCATACTCGTTGCAGAAGTTCGGAAAACATCGTAAAGCCTTGCGTCCGTTGCTGTTCATGGCGATGCACTCTGAAGCTGGTGACATGTCTGCAGAAGTGAACCATCAGCAGGGTATGAGCCCAACGCTGCGTGTACTGGAAGGAGAAGACAATGGCCCTGCATACCAAGATGCAGGGAGGCCGCTGCGCCCCGCTGAAAATGGTCACGTGCAGAATGATGTTGCTGGGTTGCCCAATGGGGTTTCGAGACCGTCTCCCGCTCCGCCTCGTGATGATCCTGGAGCGGAAGCCCCTCAAGTGGCACAGCACATAGCTTCAGAAGGGAGCAGAGCAGCATCGGATGGGCTGCGTCAGCTTCCTGTGGAAGGAACAGCAGCAGTGCAAG